CAGGACTTCTCAAATATGATGCAGAGTGGCCCGGCCACTTCATCCGCAGATGCATCTCATCAGGTCCCATGGACTTGTGCACCTTCAGGTTCCTTAGATATTCTCAAACCTGATCTTCTCCTACAGTGGGTGGTTCTGCATTCTGCCTTTGCCTTCTGTGACCTGGGCAGTGTGACTCAAGCACTTGCCAGTGAAGACTGAGGCAAAGAAGTTGTTGAGTACCTCAGCCTTCTCCATATCCTGGGTAACCAGGTCGCCTGTTTCATTCCGGAGGGGACCCACATTTTCCCTCGTCCTCCTTTTATCACTAACATACCTGTAGAAGCTTTTCTTGTTGTCCTTAACATCCCTGGCCAGATTTAATTCTATCAGGGCTTTGGCTTTCCTAACCTGATCCCTGGCTATTCGGACAGTTTCTCTGTACTCCTCCCAGGCTACCTGCCCTTGCTTCCACCCTCTGTAGGCTTCCTTTTTTTAGTTTGACTTTGCCCAGGAGCTCCTTGTTCATTCATGCAGGCCTCTTGGTGTTTTTGCCTGACTTCCTCTTTGTTGGGATGCTTCACTCCTGAGCTTGGAGGAGGTGACCCTTGAATATTAGCCCATCTAATGTCCTCCATCTCCCAAAACATGAGGCCTGTCTGCAAATGCAGACAAGACAGCATCCTTCCTTGTCCCCAGCTAACTGACCTTTGCAGTACCTTTCTGTTTCCCTGGGGAGCCCCCAAAATTAGCATGAACCACGTGTCTAACCCTAACAACTTGTAGATGAACGTTTAAGTTTCTTGTCTTGCTCCAGTGACTTTTCTGACCTGGCAGAGAAACTCTGGCGGTGTAACGGTGCAAACTCCACGATGGCAATCAGGACCCGTTTCCTGGTCAGGACTTTGATGAATATGGGTTCAGCTATGGCTTACTGAGAAAGGAGAGAGTTTAGCTTGGCTGAGCCCTCTTGCTCTTTGCGGTAGGGATGGCTTTTTAAAAATCTTCTGTTCTCTTTTGTCTTGATTGCACGGTTTATAAAATCCCTGTGATAGAAGAAATCTTAGCAGTGTTGCTGCCACTGCTGTGCTATTAGCACTGTTCTGAGAAGCAAACAGTCTGTTTAAAAAAGGCATTTAATACTTAACTGATCCCAAAGGAGCCTTTTTGGTCACCCCAGTGAGGTGGCATGGGATGCTGCAGGGTAGGCAGCAGTTGTGGTAGGTGACACCCTAGACTGACGCCCAACTGCAGGTGCCTGGTCCTAGGGCCTGTGTCCTAGCAGAATACATGTCCTTTTCTCAAAAAAAGACCTGCTGTCTGGTGGCTTAGTCATTTTCCAAAGTCACAAAGGTAGGAATGGTAACCACTGTCATCTGGGGCTTTTGAAGCTCCCAGTTCACTGGTATGTGTTTGGGGCAGAGATGCTGAGTCGGTGCTTTTTGTTGACCCAGCCCTGCCCTCCCTTCCGGCAGTGACCGTCCGAGCTCTGCTGTGTGGATCTGTGGGGTGGGAAATCCCAAGTGCTGGCCCCGAGCTGCAACTCTGATGCTGGTCAGCCTCTCTCTGAGCTGGTGTCCAGCTCTGCTTGGCCTCGAGTTTGAAAGAGATCATGCGTTACAGCATGGAGGGAGTGCCCGAGACATGACATAGTTCACTTTGCTTCCTTGCGGGCTGGGAAGGAGAGGAGGAGTACAATGTGTAATCACAGTTAAGGAAGATTTCCATGACACCTGCTAACATCCCAGTTCTCAGCATCACTGTAAATGAGCAGAGTCACTGGGAAGCATCTGTGCTCCGTTACATTTCCAGGGAGTGAGAGCAAGTGCAATTGTGCTACCCCATGCTTGCTCCTTGCCATTTCCAGCTGTTTGCCGAGCAGGGAGCTGTCGGGGGAAACGAGACGAGTACTGTGGCTGAAAGTCAAGAAGCATTTCCAAGACGCACATCTTGGATCCTGGAGTTGTTTGAGGCTGGGGAAGAGGGGGTTTGACGTCCTGTTGCAAAGTATAAAGCTTTGTTTTAAATTAGCTATCCAGGGCTGACCTAAGAGTGCATATGGGCTAGTCCATGTGGTGATAGGGACTTGACTTTGAAGCAAGTCTGGAGTAGGCATTAGGAAATTTTCTTGTTCTTTTGATGCCAGCAATATGGAAGCTGCACCCTGACGTATGTCAGGGATAAATCTTTCTGTGCAACATCCCTTGTACTCTTCGCAGGGTAAAAAACTGTCTGGATGGCCGAGCTCAGAGAGTTGTGGTGAACAGAGTTAAATCCAGTTGGCGGCCGGTCACAAGCGGTGTTCCCCAGCGCCCAGTCTTGGGGCCAGTCTTGTTTAATATCTGTATCAATGATCTGGATGAGGGGATTGAGTGCGCCCTCAGTAAATTTGCAGATGACACCAAACTGGGTGGGAGTGTCGATCTGCTCGAGGGTAGGAAGGCTCTGCAGAGGGATCTGGACAGGCTGGGTCGATGGGCCAAGGCCAACTGTATGAGGTTTAACAAGGCTCAGTGCCAGGTCCTGCCCTTGGGTCACACCAACCCCAGGCAACGCTACAGGCTTGGGGCAGAGTGGCTGGAAAGCTGCCCAGCAGAAAAGGACCTGGGGGTGCTGGTTGACAGCTGGCTGAACGTGAGCCAACAGTGTGCCCAGGTGGCCAGGAAGGCCAACAGCATCCTGGCTTGTATCAGGAATGGTGTGGCCAGCAGGAGGAGGGGAGGGGTAGTGCCCCTTTATTCGGCTCTGGTGAGGCCGCACCTCTAATACTGTGTTCAGTTTTGGGCCCCTAAATACAAGAGGGACATTGAGCTAGACCCTGTCCAGAGGAGGGCAACGAAGCTGGTGAAGGGTCTGGAGAACAAGTCTTACAAGGAGCAGCTGAGGGAACTGGGGTTGATTAGTCTGGAGAAGAGGAGGCTGAAGGGAGACCTCATCACTCTCTACAATTACCTGAAAGGAGGTTGTAGTGAGGTGGGTGTTGGTCTCTTCTCCCAAGTAACTAGCGAAAGGACAAGAGGAAATGGCCTCAAGTTGTGTCAGGGGAGGTTTAGATTGGATATTAGGAAAAATTTCTTCACTGAAAGAGTGGTCAAGCATTGGAACGAGCTGCCCAGAGAGGTGGTTGGAGTCACCATTCCTGGAGGTGTTCAAAAACCGTGTAGATGTGGCACTTCAGGACATGGTTTAGTAGGCATGGTGGTGTTGGGTTGACGGTTGGACTTGATGATCTTAGAGGTCTTTTCCAACCTTAATGAGTCTATGATTCTATGATCTGTGCTCTGTTTAGCTGCTGGGGTTCTCTTCTGGCTGAGACCAGGAGCTGTATTGTGAGGGACTGCATGTGGGGCATCCTGTTTGCATTTTCCTGGGGAGGAAGGGAGAGTGTTACTTTGGGAAGGAGATTAACCTTCATACCTCGAGACTTTGGAACAGAGCAGCAGAGTGTTGCAACTGCCTTGGACCTGCCTTTCACTACCAGGACTTTCCTGGGAGTTGTGACCTGGACAGCAAGGATGGAGTGGTTGCCTGCCTATGCCTGTCCAGCACTTGCAGGAAAATGGCCGAGCAGGACTATGTAGGGGCCTGTCCTCTTGCCTCAGAGGGAGAGGAGGTACAGCAGAGAGAGGGTTTGAGTCAAGCGGCTCTGAACATTTTAAAAATATCTCAGGTGCAGAAAGCCAATGTTTTATTTGTACAACAGTGAAATGGGCAGAGGTACCCTACCAAGACCCCACAGGTCAGGGCCTCTCTGCAGCAGACCCAGCTGATGCTTTACTAGCTGCCCGCAAGCCCAGGGTTGAGAAGCGATTGGCACAAGCAGTCAGGTTATCTGTGCTTCCCAGCCATTCTTTGAGCTGCTCCTGACCCATCCCTTGGTTGCTGCCGAGCATCGACCGGGCTCTTCATCTTCCTCTGTGCCCTTGCAAGACGGAGACTGGCAAAGTAAAAGTGACAACGCCGAGATCAGTGGCGATTGCCTTGGTGATGTTCAACCTCATGGACATTGTTTTCACAGAGATGAAGCTTCTGGCTTCTGTTACCTGAACGATGCTGTCTTGGGGATCCTGCGTCTGCGCCAGAAATTTGACCGAGTCCTTTATATCGATTTGGATTTGCATCATGGGGATGGTAAGGCCCAACACAGGCTGCAGACAGCACAGACAGAGGGTGAGGAATGGGAGAAGTGAAGACCTGTCAGGGCAGTAGGGCTTTACCTGGTGCAACAGCCACGGCTTTGCCTCCTTTCAGTGCAGTTAAGCTCCCTCAATCCATTTCTGCCTTGTCCTGCTTTATGGATTTGCCCAGTGCTGCTCATCAGACCTCTCTTGAGAGCCTGGGCAGCGGTCTTGTACGTAAAGCAACAAACAGCATGTTCCCATTCCAGTAATCCCCTCTGCCAGTGGCTCTCCATCAAGGACTTCCCCCAATCCCTTGTCTCCCATCCCGGCAGAACGGCTGCTGACAGTGTTTAATTATTTAATGCCACCAGTGCAAGAAGGAAGTAGTCAGTAGTAAACGGTGCTTTTAAAAGAAGGCTTGATGTTATAAAGCAAAAGCCAGAGCTGGCCTTGCTTAAACTGTTTTCTCCTTCAGGGATGTTATTTCAACACCATTTAACACTTCCTGCTCTCCTAAATTTTGTGGTGTGTTTCATTTTGCTCTGTTTTCCACCCACATTTGGTTTCTGTTAAGTTCCCTGTTACTTCTTATTCCCTCCCCACCCCCACTATTTTAATAAGTCTTTAAGGAAAAGGTGTGTTGAACCGCGGCAGCGCTGAGAAAAAGCGAGAGAGCCCTGTAATTCTGGTTCTAATCAGAGGCAAGCTCTGGCCGAGGTATCCCTGCCCAGCTCCCTTCCCCAGCCTTGCAGGCCAAGCAGTGCAGGCGAGTGCTGCTAACATGGGCACTGACCTGAGGTATTGATGTCCATTCAGTACTGATTAGCATGAGACCTGCCAAATTAATTTCAGTTGTCATCTTTGCTGCAGTTGAATTTGTGTCTCTGTTGATTAAAGATGGATTTATTGAGCCACATCTGGTTTTCTGCTTCGTTCATTCCATTCCTTCTCTGCTTGCTGCCCTGTGTTTATCGAGTGGTTCATTTATGTTTTTAGACTCTGTCATTTATGTGAGTGATGCATGAAAGCTTTTTTCTCTTCCCTTTTCTGATAGGAGTTGAAGATGCCTTTAGTTTCACCTCGAAAGTCATGACTGTTTCTCTGCACAAGTTTTCACCGGGATTTTTCCCAGGCAAGTTGCGAGGTTTGTGCTAATTTGGTTCACGCATCACTGACGAGGCCCCAGCAAAGTCAAGTCCCATCCCTTCTGTCCAGCAAAGGTGTCTCCCTGCTGTTCTCTTGACCCAGGAGAAGGAAAGAGGGGGAACTACATGATTGGCATTTCCCCCTTTCTGGCTGTGGCTAAGCTCTGGGCAGAGCCGCTGCTGCGTGGCCACCTGCAGCCCTTGAAAGCTGCACGACAGAATTGGGCAGAGGGCGAGAACCAGGTCTGTCCAACCCCTCCTTTATTGGTGGTGGCAAGTGGACTTCTCCATAAGCATGCCAAAGGTCCTGGCTCTCTGCTCTCTTATGAGACATCCCCACGTTTCTCTTGCTGCTGATCCCCTTTCCCTCGTAATTGACTGTGGGGTGTGTCTGTTTTTCAGGCACCGGTGATGTGACAGATGTTGGCCTGGGGAAAGGTCGCTATTACAGTGTGAATGTGCCTATTCAAGATGGCATTCAGGACGAGAAATATTACCAGATCTGTGAAACGTAAGCCCTCTTGCTCTGATACAGTTTACTGAGATGGCATTATAGAGAACAGAGACTGCATAGATTTTGTTTGTTTACTATTTTTAATTACAGCCCTTCCTTAAGGCTTGCCCCTTCCCCTGTTACAGTTTTTTATTACAACAAACACAGATCTTAAGAGATCTCAGAGGTCTTGTCCAAATCCATAGGCAAACTGAATATACAGAGGCATTTGTGGGTGGCTGGTGGGTCTCTTTGCCACAGGTTAGCCATGTGTGTTTAAGGAGAGACTGAGAAGGTACAAGTACTTTTTAGCTGTGGAGTTAGGGCTGGATGTTTTTTCTTCAAACAAATGCTCTGAACCCTGACCATCTGTGGCAGATATCCTTGTGGCTGAGCTAAAAGTGTTCTCCAAGCACTTTTTGTCTGTGCTGGAATAATGAGAGGCTGAAGGCTGAACGTCTGCCAGTGATTAAGCTGCCTCCCAGCAGGGCCCTCTATCACTCAATCGGCGATGGACTTCACAAGCCATTGCCCATGTCAAAACTGGGCTGTGGGGCCTGTTCTGAAAAGGGGGAGAGGAGCCTCAGTGCAGGGCTGCAGGACACGGTAGCACATCCACCTCTCAGCTCTAACAGCTGAGGGCTGAAAGCTCTCTGGACTTGTAGCCCATTAGGGCAGTCATGCTGTGGCCGTGCCTCCTGCTAGCTTGTTGGTGCTGGTCACTGCTGGTGGTGGAGCAGCCCTCTTCCCTGCTGGGTGTTTGTTTCCAACAGGCAGGGCAGCTTTAGGTGCTGAGTATGGGTTAGAAGCCCAGTCAGGAGTAGCCCGTTGCATGCGTTCCCAGTTGAAGGACATCAAAACCTACCATAGGTTCCAAGCTGCATATAACCAAAGCATCTACAAAGAAATGTTGAGATCTCATGGGCAAAGAGGAAAAGTTCTGGCCTGGCCGGCAGACAGCCATGTGCATGACTGTGGGTGTCTCATCCAGCTGATGTCCGAGCATGATTGCTTGTGGCTCCCAAACCCGTGGTGGGGTTGGAGCACGTGACTCCCTCTGACACGGGTTTCTGCAGGGTGACTACACCCCGCGCAGAGCATTTCCTCGTATTCTTCTCCTGTGTCCCTTGTGGGTGAGAGGAGACCTGCTCCTTGGCAGCCCTCTGCTCCTTGCCGAGGCGCCGCCAGATCACGAGTTCCTGGAGTAAAAAGCCAGGCAGATGATGTGCAAAATAGTCCTGCCTCCCTCGGTGCCGGCAACAGCTGCCTCCCCGGTCTTGGTGAAGGCTGATCTGCTGCAGCATAGCGATATAAATAAATGGGGAGGGAGTTTGCTCTTGGTGTCTCAGAGCATGTGCACTTTGAACTTGCCTCTCTGTAAATTAGAGTGCTTGTGTTTGATTGCTTTTGTTCTGCTAGATGAACTCCTAACCTTCTTTAGAGGCTGTGTGGCACACGGATAATTGCCTATTGTTTCTGGAAGCTGAATGACACTGGCTCCAATTAAAGTACATTGTTACTAATAAAGGGGGCCAACCTGTGACTTTATTTATTTGTTTTCTGGAAAGTCTAAGGCCTTTAAAGTTTTGAAGACAAAGCCAGGCAGGAATGAAACGTTTCAGAGCTGCCATGAGAGTGACAGCACCAGGGCTGGATGCTGAGTTTCTGTGGTATGCTCTGCTTGTGCAGAGATGTGTCCAAGGCTTGTTCCCACTAGGAGCCCTCTGGGAGCCTACCTGCTAACGTAGTCTCTCCATCAAAAGAGAAAGTTGTTTGGCTAATTGTCAGCATTCAGAATAGCTGATTTGCTTGATCGCCTTTCAAAATCACCCAGATTAATGAATGACGTTGATTCTGAAAAGATGTCATTAACTTTGCCTGGAGTTTGAATATTAAGCTTTTGAAGACTTAAAAAATGCAATATGTGAGAAACATTGCAAGTGCAGAAAACTAAATTTAGAAATAATCCAGAGACATTCAAAAGCATTATTTTTGCTCCAAAGACAAAGAGAAATCTGACTTAATTTAAATGGCTGTAGTAGGTTGCTTGATAAACTCACAATTAATTATAGCTGAAACAGATAAAGAATCAGCTATTTGTCCTCTAGTATTGTCCAGAATGTAAAAATAATAAAACCAAAAACCCCACCCCAAAATCCGAATACTGTTTGACTTGTTGTTATATGTGATGCAGGGGAGCTGTGTTAGCGGTGTGTAGGCATGAATCTAGCAAAATTCTGCTTTAGCCAGTGCGGGCTGGACTGTGTGACAAAGATCTGCTCGAGCGGAAGTTGCGGTGTGTCCATTATGTTGGTGGCGACACCGGTAAGTAACATGGGTTACTTACAGGGAAAGCATGCAGGACTTTTGTGGCACCAAAGGCTTGCCTGCTGTCTAGAAGGAAATCCTATTTCTCTATTTACAGTGTCTTAGTAAAGGAAAAGAGGATGACTGTAGTGGATATGTTGCATCCCAGCAGCTAGCGGTCTCTGTTCCTTTGGACTCAGCTGCCACTGCCCGGTGGTAGGACCATGGGCTGGGTTCTCATTGTGCTGCCCGCAGTGGCACGGACAGAGCAAGGTTGATTGTTCTCAGGGCACAATATAGGAGCAGCAAGGCCAGTTCCCACTTCTCTGATCTGCTTTTTCCTATTCTGCAGGCTTTTGGCAAGATGAAAAATAATACTTTTTTTTTTTAAATCCTTCTAAGTGAGGGCTTTCAACCTCTGTCAATACGTGGGCACCTACAGTGCTCCAGGTGGCAGCATGGCTCTCTGTAGATCCAGTTTCAGCCTCCTGATGGTCAGCTGTCTGTCTTTTGGTGCCTCTTATGAAGCCCTTTGACAAGCCCCTGATGGGAAAACCCAGAGTAGACTCTTCTGGGTTTTTTTTTTGAAGCAGAAGTTTCCCACTTGCAAGAATAAGACTAAAAGCAGAGACCGCTGTTTCTTGGGAGGCTGCAGTGTTGCTTTCACAGTGCATCCAGTTGTGCCTGTTCCTAGCTGCAATGGATTGAGGGTATCTACTGACATATCCTTCCCCCTGTTTCAGTGTTGGGGAGGAGGCCAACAGAGAGGCAAGTGGCCTTTTCCCGATAGAGTGACAGTCTAAAGCAGACAGCGGTGGGGGGAAATGAGGTCAAAAAATGAAGTGCACGATCAAAAGCAATTCCTGCATGACTGTCAGTGTCTAGCAGGGCTTTTTCATGTCGTGCAGGTATAAAAGGAGACCCCTGGGGAGAGGGTGCCTGCTCCCTCAAGGTGTTGGGTGCACATGGCGTGAAAAGCACCACGTGGCCTGCAGTAATATGAGGCCAGTTCTGAATCTGGTCCTCTGGCGTAGTCACTGAACAGTACAGACCCCAGAGTGACTGTGGTGTTGGGAGGCTCTGGAGATTAGGGACGTGATTGATTGCTGGGTTTGGGAGCTGCTTGGAAGGGGTTGGTCTTCCTGTTGCTGTAAGGGTAGAATACAGTGTGGGGCAGGCGGTGAGCACAAGGGACCTAGCGCACCATCTGGACTTCATTGGTTGCTTTTCACTGGCCGCAGAGCAGAAATCCTAAATGTTCTTCCAGAGTCTGAAACTTTAAAATACATTTGTAGTCCCACAAACTTTGCAGAAATTTCATGTTCTGAGTTTTTCGTGGTTTGGGATGAAATTTTGAAACTTGGGCTGAAATTCCAGACCCCTGCTTTCTTTTGAAAGGTCCCAAGTTTTAACCTGGGGAAAAGGCCCAATTTAACCCCGTGGATCACGGAGCTTTCTGAGTGCCTGTGCTGGCAGGCACTATGTGCGCGCTGCGTTTGGGAACGACCCCCAGTTCAAACCTACTTTCTAGTTGACAGAATAAGTCTGACTGCTTTCTTTAGCTTACGGATAGGGTTTGTGGTGTTTGCTGGTGCAGCTGTCACCTTGGCATATCGTGGGTCTTGCCGGGATGTGTACAGAGTGGGGCAGTGAGCATCGGGGCAGCAGACCCATGGGAGCCATGAGGCGAGCTGGCGTGGGGAGCGTTTGCTAGCTCTGAGAGCAGCAAGGCTCTGGGCAGCTGTGGGTCTTGTCTGCCTGCAGCGTGGGCATAAGGAGGAGCAGGCAGGCCCTTATGTTGCTCCTAAGGTGACAGCGGATGTAACTTGATTGCTTGGTGGGTATGGGATGCGGCTTTTTGGAGGTTGGAGGTGTAAGTCACAGCCTTGCTTGTGTATCCAGGTAAAGGAAAGGCCACCAATTTGGGGACCTCCTTCCTGTGCTTCTGGCCATCTCCCAACACCAACGGGAGGAAACGTCGCACGGTGCTGGTCCTCTTCCAGTGGCAATCTTACTTGCGCTGTGAAATTTTGACTCCTATTCTGAGTTTGCTTGAGCAGTTGTAGAAGCCTGTTCTCTTCCATCCTCCCTGTGAGCCGCTAACTTTCAGCTGTTCCTCTGACCTCTCCAGGGTAACAAAAGGAGACTTCTCTGTCAGCTGCTTCCTTTGGGGGCAGGGGGGGACACAGGGAATTGGGTACTGCTGAAAGAAAGAGCTTGGAGAAGTCTGAAAACTGGCAACATCTGTTCATCTCCGCTGCAAGGGCAGGCAGTGCAGCCCTGCTACGGTGCACCGCTCTT